CCGTTTGACTTAGCAATGAGGCTTTTAAAGTAGGTGTCGCCTTCCTCTATCTGCCTCGCAAGAAGGTCGAGCATCGGTTGCCCTTCAAGCAGAGTTTTCAGATTTTGAAGAGCTCGCCGTGCAGCCTTCAGCTCCCAAGCATCGATTTCTCCAGTGGAAAGTTTTTGGCCACCAGGAAGGGAACATTGAAGAGAGATCCCAGGCTGATAATTCATTTTGCGTGGTGCTTCTGAAGATTGATTTCTAGCTGCGGTAAGACCAAGATATTTCAGCGTGTGACCCTTTGATTTGTCCTCTTCAAGTAATGGGATATCTCAAAGGCTTATAAATGAATATACTATCTTCTGATCGTAGACACAGTTATATTCATGCATTCGGTTCGCTGTTAAAGCTAAAGCCGAGCTCGACGTCCATTTTACCCCACAAATCAGTTTTGCGTTTCCTCTGCCTCAAGACTGCTCCGGAACATGGTGCTACAATAAGTTCCGGCGCTAGAAGTATCAAACAAGCCGGCATATATGAATATTTTTTGTCCGCTCCGTAGAAGCTTAGGCCAAGGTGGCTGCGGGGACGGTGGCTTATCAAACAAGTCGGTCTATATGAACATTTTTCGTCCGCTCCGTAGACCGCTTAGGCCAAGACGGTTGCAGCTCTCGGTCTAAAAATCGGCCGGGTTCCGAAATTGCCAAAGAAGATCACGATGACGAGGTGACTGATACCGCTCCGACTACGTTTCGGCCCCAAGCCTGATCGCAGCAAGAAGTACGTGACTAAGAATCTGTGGTTCATAGCCACTAGCCCTTGCAATCATGTCTGAAAACGATTAGCTATTTTTGAGGTTGCTGTAATACATAATGGGGTTAGGTACCCACGGTATCAGACGTATCACAGTGTTAAGAACGACATAAACCAAGGCGATTGATCATTCATCTCACTTCCTCTTAAACGGAATAAAAAAACAATGTCTACAACAGAAAAGCTCAAATCCCGGTTTCCGGATCTCAATTTTGTCAAACCCATTGAAGTCAAAAACCATCCTAGATACAAGCCATATAATGTCGAATTCAAACCAGAGCATGTGGTGCTACCCAAAGGCCATGTCAAGGAGGACGGGAGAAGGAAGATGCTCGTCGATAGCGTCCTTGAGCGCGACACAAAGATTCCCCTACGGGACGGACTACACGTATACGGTGAC